GCGAGGGTTAAGTCATAGACCCGGGAACAGGGGGGGGCAGCGGGGGCGCTTGCCCCCCAACTTGGGAGCCGAGGGGGCGGCGCCCCCTCAACATTGAGGCAGCGAGAAAAGATCTTTCCTTCCTTTTCCGGACTTCTTTCCTTCTTGTTTCTTCTTCTTGTTTCTTCGCGCCGCCCCCTCAATGTTGAGGGGGCATTGAGGCAGCGAGAAAAGATCTTTCCTTCCTTTTCCGGACTTCTTTCCTTCTTGTTTCTTTTATGCATCTAAACATCAACACACGGCATTTTCCTTGCCATCTGAATGGTTTCTGCTGATACAATGTCGATTTGACAACATCTGCTATTGTCATCCCGCTTTGATTTGGGCCTGACCTTGGCCATAAGTTTGGCAGGCCAGATTTTATACTGTACCAGCTTGAGTCAGCTTTGAGAAATACATAACGTACAACGGTGGTAAAATCGTTGCTATAGGTATAACACAGTTTACCCGCTCCGGGTGAGATGGAGGGGTGTGGGGCAATGAGTGCACTGACGTGGCGCCCTCGGAGGGCCGGTATGGGATTAAAGCTCAGCGACACTAAGGGTTTATGTGGTGCCTTCAGTTATCGGTAGCACCCTCAGAATCACCGGCGTAAGGGCCCTCAGAGCCGCCGGTAAGGGGCCTTTAGAGGCACTGATCATGGTGTGGGGCCGCCATGCACTATGCAGGTGCCGATGTGGGCGCTGAGGTGCTAGTGTGATTCTCTCAGAGGCGCCGGTGAGGGTCCTTACAGGCGTTGCTGTGGGCCCTCATAGACGCTGGTGTGGAGCCGTTACAGACGGGTGTGGGGTCTTTTGAGCTGCTGAAGCGAACCCTCTACAAGGCGGCAGGGGGTTCTCAGTGATCGGCAAGGGGCCCTTAGGCCGGCAGAAGAAGTCCTGTGGGGTCCTTGGAGACCGGCATGGTACTGTCAGACGCCGGTGGGGCCCTCAGGGCTCAGAGTCACCGGTGTGGGGCCCTCAAGTCACCAGTGGGTGGCCTTTAGATGCGCAGGTGTTGGTTGGGTCCTCAGAGCCGCCGATATAGGGCTTTAATAGGCACTGGTGTAGGCACTCGGAGTTGGGGGTGTGAAACGCTCAGAGGCACCGGTGTGGGCCCTCATAGGCGCCGATGAGGGCCCCCACAGTTGCCGTTATGGGGCCCGCAGAAAAATAAGTGTGTGACCATCACAGGCGGGAAATGCCCCTAGAACTGGCCCCTCATAGGCCGGTAAGAACTCTCAGAGGCCAGTAACGGGCCTTTGAAGACCACCGAGGGGCCCTTTAGGTCTGCAAAAGGCCCTCAGAAGCCGGCGTGGGGCCCTTATGGAGATCTTAGTGTGGCTATTTAGGGTCCATGAGGTGCTCTAACGAGCCCCATGGGGCCCTTCTGAGTAGAAATATGGCCATCGTTAACTCTCAGCGGTCAAATGGCGCCGCAGGGCCCATCGGACCCGAGGGTCCCTTTGAACCCGATGGGGGGGGGGGGGGTACGTGTCCCCTTAGACTCCTAGCTACGCCACTGTTTCATATGCATCATGTCAGGCATTTTAGACTCGCCCCCCCCCCCCCAACTTGAAAATCGTTCCCGGGCCCCTGGGTTAAGTAGGTATATGTTAAATCGCCCAATATTGCGAAACCTTGCTTGTCCTAAAGTGTGACTTTAAGATTGTTCTTCACAGTTGCAAATAAATACTAATCATGCACGAAACTCAAAAGGCGCTGTCATTTTAAATCACCCTTAGGCCTCTCATATTAGATTGCTTTGACGAAAAATTCCATTTTTCTCAATAGCTCAAAATCTATGCATCCTGGCCCTAAGAGCTCAAGGTGGCTATTGGTGGTACGACGGAAAACAAAGGTAGTGAGTGCACAAAGCAGCAGATACCAGCAGTGGTTCAGCCGGGAAGGCTGATGGTCCGTCTTGCCCCGCTGGGCCGTCTTACCCCGCCTTCTCCGTCCTAGCTAAAAGTCATGCCAACGCCTGTTTGCTTGAAAAAAAATACGCTCGTAGGTAGGCTTTCACAAGACATAGGTTATTTTATCGAAAATATGGCTATAGGTACGTACCTACTCTTTGGCCCCTGGCGAGGGAGTGCTTTTTAACGTGAAAAGCACGTTGGCCGTGATAGAACTTGTTTTTTGGTTCAGTTAAAGCATGTTAGGGACCTACTTACAAAGTATGGAATATAAGGCATTGGACAGGTCAATTATATGATCTCTCAGAGGGAGGTCACACCTCTTCATGAACTCAATGGGAGAAAGTTTAAAGACGCCTCTTTTGGACGAACGTCATTCCAAGCGCTCTCAAACACCCATGACACACTGAACTGGAAACTGGCACCCGTGACCATGTCCCTGAGGTCATCTCAGGTCACGAATGGTATCTAGCAGCTTTTCGTGAATAGCTTTCAAATAGAGGCGTGCTAGAGCGACGAAAACACCTTAGATGTGTTCAGCTCGACGATACGGATCGACAGTCGTCTGATATGGAGCATGACCCTTTCAGGTCAGGTAATGACCTTTTTTTTTCTAAATAGTCCGCCATCCATTAACAGATGGCCAGGAGTGCCCCCACCGCAGTCCCAGCGACGCACAGAACCTTACGTTAACCCAGAGAACATAAAAAGAACTAGTCGCGGCACTCCCTGCTAAGAAAGTGAAATAAACACAAAAAAACAGAATGATATCATGATACCATGCAAACAGATAAGTAGTCACGCCAAATCCAGCAATGACTGACCGCTATACCGATGCTACCCCATAGGACCACATACATATCAGAAAGCAAGCATGCAATTTAGAAAAGTGATAAGCAAGTGAGTAGATTCGCATGCACAAAGCAATGCCAAAACAGGTAACACTCTCACTCACATGCACGCCCAACACATGCATACTAGATATATGTATATACAAGGGTAGAGGCAAGTGCTGGTCAAAATTCATGCAAGGTCAATATATGCCGTCCTCCAGGTCTCATCCAACTAAGCGAGGCTTGTTGTTGGATGAAGGCCCAGTGGACGTTATGGCGTTTAGCTTGAAACAAAAACAAGGTATGTTTCTGGTTTTACAGCATTTATAAATTAAACAATTTCATATTTATAAATTATTTTTAATATAAAGGCTCAGAGCAGTAATTACCTATTTGGTTAATGATGAGACTGTATATGTTCTCTGTTCTCAGTATCGGTTCAAAAGTATATTTTTTAGATGTCTTTTAAATATTTGCCCTGACTGAGGTACTTCTTGTAGCAAGAAATCCCTCCCAATCAAGTCATTCCACAGTTTCGGTCCAAGGCACGTGAATGTAAAAAGCCTATAATTCCTGTTAGAGTGTATACGTTCAAAATGACATCTTGTTCTTGTTTGGCGAATGGGTTCAGGAGAAATATTAAGCAATCCTCCGATGGAGACAGGCAAGTCTTGTATAATGAATTTGTGCATGATGAGCATGATTTGTAGATGTGCTATTTCTTTTACTTTAAGTATCTTGTATTTTTTAAATATGGGGGTAGCACTTTCTGGAGGATAGACACCTTCAATGAGCCTCATTGATCTCTTTTGTAAGATAACTAAATTTCTAATCTGACTGTCATAATTTGAACCCCATATGAAACAACAGTAGTTTATGTAGGGGAAGATAAGAGAATTATATAGTTGAAGAATTTGCTGTTTAGGAAGGAATCTTTTCACTCTAGCAATCATTCCTATATTTCTGCTGATTGTGTTACAAACGCTGCTAATGTGAGATGCAAACTTTAAATCAGAGTCAATGAGTATTCCCAGGTACTTAATTGTTGTCATTTCCTTTATTTTAACACCATTTATGAATGTATTGATATTTTCACTTGTTTTGCGTTTAGTATACACCTGTAGGAAGGTTTTTGATGTATTTATTGTGAGATAGTTGGCTTCTAACCAGTTTGATATGTTTGACAGCGCTATATTTACCTTGTTTTCTAGTGCTTTAATGTCTTTATGTCTGAAAAATATTGCTGTATCATCAGCATTGACCTGAGGTAAAATTTGCATGTTGACCTTTTAAGGTCAAATTATTGTTCATATGATGCGTTTTGACAAGAGGAAACGATGCTAGTAACAGTAAGCTCGTGCAAGGTGTGAGTAAAAATGTACCTATTGCAGAAAAAACCGTCCGCAAATATCGTCTATTTTGGTAAATTTTGCCCCTTGAGCCAAGGTCAAATATCAGACGTTCGATCTTTTGCGAACACGATCTTTCGTCCATACGAACATTATTATAAATTTGGGAGGGAGGAGCAGAGTTACGAATACGATCTTTATCCCATACCTACGACTTTTTGGCATACCTACGATCATTTTCCTTGACGATCTTTAGCGAATACTATTTTTTGTCCATAGGAGCATTATGTCGTACGATCTTTATCCATTGCGATATGTTGCATAGGATCAACTTCCTACGATCTTCTAGCTTACGATCTTCGCTTTACGATCTTTGGTCCGGTTACCCCGTCATGACTATAAGCCACCATGCACCCAAGACACGGCTCACTAGCACCATCTACATAGGAATGCTTTGACTTTATTCGCCAGATGTCAGACCGGGAGCACTGCCCCGGGAGCTGTTTCTTCCTGTTGGTCATATTACAGCGCGCTCATGCAGCGACTTAGGTACTGCTCATTTTAACGGGATTGTTCGCTCGCCATGGTCCCTATTGAGTGGCGTAGCTTTGACCAGTCTTCTCAGTCCCATCAGGAAGCAGTGAGCAATCGCATTATTCAGTTCTTGTTACTGCTCAGCGTAATTCAGCGAGCTTGTTTTCTCTCTGGCTAAAGAACAGCTTATGCGACTTTGCCTGAACTTATTCACTGAAAAATGTACCCATAAGTAATGATACATTGATTGAAGCCCTCTTCCGTCCTAAATTCAGGAGACACTACTCGCCACCTGACCCTGAACCGTCGTCGTCACATAATCATTTCATACCAATACAACTGCCACACTATACGAATGCAAACAACTTTATTGATCCACGTCTTCTCAAATAAGTGAGTAGTCCATTATAAGAAAGCGACGGACATATTATCATACTGCACGTAAAACTTCACGCCACCCAACAACATCGATATCACGTAACACCGTCCAACTGTGCAGAAACCACACACAAGCAGCAGTTTGCTGCATGAAACTGTCCACGTCTTTGCGCACGCCGGAATATTTGTCGGTAAAGGACTCTACCTAAACTAAAAATAAATTATATCATACAGCGAGTTGGTCCATGACCGTGTGCGGTGCTTTCTGGCCACAGCTTTCGGAAACATTCCTCTGTTCAGCGGATCTGGAATAAAATAACCTCAAACGAGGCGGGACGCGCAAACTTACCCGCTGTAAATGCACAACTGGCGTGAGCACAAGCGACATCAATCAGCAAAATGACACAAATTTAAGTTATCAGACGAGCAAATTCATTCTAGAACTAACATAGCATACCCTGGCCAATCAGAAACATAACTGATATGAATTGTAACATAACAAGGCGTCCAGCGTCAATCAGAGCGGCATTCATGATATTTCTTAGCCTCTAGCTGTATTCAGACAAATCGGCTGCAACGAGTGTGAAAGGTCCAACCGAACTCCCGACCCAGAGCGAAGAGATCAGAAAGAATGTCAAGTGTAAAATGAGTTAGCAATGCCAAAAAATGCCGATCCATCACTCAGACACGAGATACCAGGGCGGTGTTTCACGGCCGCTGCTAGCGCGCTGCCAGTAAACGTGCCAAATTGGGTTCCCAAGGAGGCATCAACAAACTCCTATCTTCAACACTGCCACAATCTGTGACGTCAGCTCGCGAAATGCGACAGCAGCGTCCAGTGAAACGCCGCCCAGACGCCAGCCAGTGCCTGTCATTAAGCACAACCTCCCTGCCCCGCTGAATAATCTCTGTCTATGCAGGCACCGTCAGCGCGGGCCGCATCGTTCATCCAGCGAGGCTTTCTGCTGCCGGCAGTCACACTCACAACACATGCCAGGCACTTGTGGTGTCCAATTCGGAGCCGCGGACTCTGCCAGCGCCTCACAATTCACCGGAACTACAGCGGATAGGGCGGCGGCTGGTCATATGGGGCGGACACGGCGCCTCGCACCGCCCGCCGCCGGCCACCGCTGACGTCGCCAGATCGCCAGTGACGTCACAGGATGGCCACCGCTGACGTCACCAATCCACCAGTGACGTCACGCACCGATTTTGGGTTGCTGGGAGTTTATCGGAGCGGCAGATGCGGCTCGACCCCACCGGTGAGGTCCGGCGGCGGCACGGCGCCCATCTCCGGGCCGGACAGCTCACCTGCAGCAGGGGACAGGACAGAGGGCGTCAGCCGACAGTAGACACTAGGACACAGGAAGTCAGCGGACAGGGCACAAGGAGTCAGCGGACAGTGGACAAAAGGTGTCAGCGGACAGGACACGGCGTCAACGGACAACAGAAGAGGTCAGCGGACAGGAAACAAGGAGTCAGGCGGACTGGTGACACTTTGAGTCAGCGGACATTCAAACAGAACACAGGGCACAGGGCGTCAGCAGACGGCATCGGCCAGGATAACCACGGGACACAACCGGACGCTCATAGGGATTCGGCGGCACGGCACAGGGCGTCAGCATACAGCTTGGTAACGCAACTAATCGACGCAGGCCATCACATATTCACCTCCCCGTCAATAGGAGGACCAGGGGTTCCAGTGGTTCCACTATCACTCCAGCCCAGCCCACATGCCCCCCGCGCTGACCTCCGGACCTACCGGACTGAGTAACCTACCGAACTGACTGAATCACCAGACTGGCTGGCCTAATGAACTGACTGCACTGCATTTAACTGGACTGGCTGACCCACCGATGTGACTGTATCACCGAACTGACTGGCCTACCGTACTGACTGACCTACCGAACCATCACCCGTGATAAGACCACAGACTGACCTTCGGCCGGCCCGGGCTGCTGGTCGGCGCCCTGGCCGCTCTTGTTGGACAGCTCCTTCAGGCCCTTGATGAGCTCGGCGTCCTTGGCCTCGTTTTCAGTATCGGGATGGTCGTCCATCGCGTCTGCTGCTCGGCGGTGAGGGACAGTACACACCGGTCAGAGCGAGGGCAGATGCCGGGGGAGGCGGAGTAGACAAGACGGTGTGCAGATGTTTCATGTTTACTAGCGTAACTTTACTAACTCAATTTACATGCTACTTTACAGTTGGACAAAAGTCACCCTTTTCTGGTGCTAGCAATCAGAAAAAAATGAGTGATAAGTTTCAAGCAGATAACGGACCAACAGAACGGCATCATTTAACCAGTCAAATTTAAATCATACCACAGGGACTGGTATCAAGCCAGGTAGCACAACCGACCACTGCCTAACAACCGCACTTCGTCCGGAACGGGCACTGAAATTGATTGCAGACACCCGGTGGAAACCACTTAAAGTTGTTGTGCTCACATCTGTGTCATATAGGAATTCTCTTCCTCCCGGTGGCATCCCAGCCTCACCTTTACCGTCGTCCATCGGGTACTGGATGCCGCCGTCTCCGTCCTGGTCGCCCTCCTCCTGTTGCTCTCCCTCTCCTCCCTCCTCCTCCTCTTTCTCCTCCTGTCGCTCGGGAAGCTGGTGGGGCGCCGCCAGCACTCCGGCCCCCTCCGCCGCCTCCTGTGGGACGACAGAGCAGCGTCACAGTCATACACAGAACGCTGACACGGGAGACACACACGTCTGATGATGTTCAACGGTAGGCACGAACTTAAACTGAGTGAATGGTGAGCTCAAACAACGGGAGCAGGGGGAAAATTAATGCTTGGAGTAGGTGTCTCGACGCAACTAATTCGTCGAAGCAAGTCGCTCATAGTGTGAGCACAGCATGGGACACGACAAAATGTCAAGACAGACGTCACATCGGGTAGTTTGTTAATTAAAGCCAACACTCATCATGTTTTCTATGAATGATACCCCATCTAAGAATATGTTCATGCCGAACTGACCAGCAGCGGATGGACATGTTACCACACCAGCACTGAACACGGCCCCGCACCGCTCACAGTCAGCGACGCTCACCTCCCCGCCCTGCGGTTTGTCGAGCGTCTCCAGCGCGTCAGCCACGGCCGGCCTCACGCTAGAGGTCGTACTGCTTGACTTTGGGCCCACGGCCGCGGCCGCTGCGCCCGGCGGCGTGGGCAGCACGCGGCGCGCGGCGACCACCTGGCCCTGCGCCTGCTGGAACCCTCCGGACAGGCCGGCACTCTCAAACAGCTGCTGACCCAGCTGAGGCTTCGGGGCGACCAGGCCGGGCCACTTGGAACCGTTATCACCTGCCAGAGACCAGAAACTTTTAACTACAATGGATGAGATAAGCTGAGCAACGCTCCTTCAGACTAGCCAACTAAGATATTGACACTTAATTGCCACATCCAAGTCATGCATGTTTGGTGACACCAAGTTCATCTCAATTGTGTTGCAACTCGTGTTTACAATTGGGCGCATCAATCATGTCTAAGTACGCATCACGCTAGGTGCAATCATTGCTGAACTCCATGCTCACTGCCTGCCGGATCTCCCAACCAAACAGTCCAACCATCTAGACGCACTCACCGGGGACGACTGCAGCGGCGGCGGGGCCGGTGTCGGCGGTGCCCGGCTGTCTGGGGGCCGCCGGCTGGACAGCCGGCATCGACTGGCACTTGATCAGCTCCGTCTGCGCCTGAAGGCAGGAACAGGCGGCAACGTCAACATCAACATCAGCCTAAACGGTGGTTTCAGCGAGCGGAATTCACAGCCTGGCGAGAAAGGAAGTGTGTGTGTGGCGAGTAGTGCCCCCTGAGGGTGTCGGGTGTATCAGTGTCTGAGTCGGCGCACAGTGTCAGTTGCTGGATCCCAGTGTCACCACATGGACCCCAGTGTCACCACCTGGATCCCAGTGTCACCACCTGGATCCCAGTGTCATCACATGGATCCTAGTGTCTCCACCTGGACTCCAGTGTCACCACCCGGACCCCAGTGTCACCACCTAGATCCCAGTGTCACCACCTGGACCCCAGTGTCACCACCTGGATCCTAGTGTCTCCAACCGGCGCGGCGGCCTTACGTGGGTCAGCTGAGCGCGGCACGAGGCGGTGTCGCCGACCGTCTGCTCGGCCTCGGCTAGCTGCTGGCGGAGTGCGGCCACCTCGGCGTCGCTCTGACGCCGGCTCTCCGTCAGCTCAGACTGCAGCGTCTTCAGCTTACTGGCCATGTCGTGCAGCTCGCCGTTCTGAGAGACGGGGGAGGGACTCATTGGTACACTAACTCACTGTACTATCTCACAGGCTCACACTGTCTCAACATACCAGCAATGGGAAAGGGTAGACGGCTGTACAGTCCCATAATCGTACTGCATTTCACATACTGTCCGGGGAAGGGGGAGCAAGAGCGATACTGTCCTGAGTCCGATCGCATCTGTTCGTGGTCCAATCGAACCGCAAGGAAAGTGGAGACATCACCACGTGCGTAATGTATGGTATGAGGTGCCGTATTGGATCCTCACTCGTCTTCAATGTTGTCATTTAGCTGTGGGAATTGAATTATTTGTTAGAAAAATGATAATAATCGGAAGACATGAAAACACGGAATAATACAGTCTGCGCCAGGTCATCCCACTTACATGGGTGGCTTTATCGTCATCCAGCTCCTTTTGAAGGGCCGACTTTTTCTCCATTATCTCTTCCATGTCTTCCTGAAGCTGCTTGCATCTCATGGAATCCTCGTCTTTTGTGATCTGGAGCTGTTGTAGTTTGGCGTTTACTTTCTTGAGGTCTTCGGAGGTTTCTTTCCTTTGCGAGTCGATCATTGAAGATTTCTTTTCGCTGAAATAGTCAGAAAGAAACTTGCGTTGAAAACTTGTCATCGAGCCGTTAACGATCATTGAGCAGATATTATTATCAACATTAAGGATAAACAAGTGTCATATGTAGTAGTGCACTGAATTAAGGCGGCTAAGACTCCTTTTACAGAGTTAAGGTCGTTCTCCACGGTACATGTTTTGCGCGTTTTTAATGACGTTTTAACGCTTTTTTGATGTTTTGCGAGTTTTTCATGATCGGGCGTTGATCTGTACCATTAAATTACACTGTGCCATCTCCACGGCGGAAGATTTGTCAAAAATCGAAAAACGCGTGGCTTCATAAAATCAAAAAACTGCAAAACTCGTAAAACGCGTCAGGTTGTGTCATGCAAAACTCGTAAAACCTTTAAAAAACGCAAAACTCTCATTTGTAAAAACGCTCGATTTTATCCAAACATTTGGATCGAATGAAAGTTTTCCGGTTTTTGACAAGGCTAAGAAGGCAATTCTTCTGCTATTAATACCATTTTACGGTGAAATGGATGCAATGGAAAGTGTGGAAAGCGATGAAACGCAATTTGATTCAGCCAATGATCATGGCAAGTACTCAGACAACCATACCAATAACTTCTGTTGCTATTGCGACGATGTGGATGTCAAATAATCCCATAGTGAGTCTATGGATAACAGTTATTACGATATCAGATCATTTCAGATAATTGATAATTAGGTAACTGATGTCATAGCGGTGATAACAATAGGGTAACGTGATGATACCCCTATAACTATCTTTACAGCGAAAATCGAGGGGTTAAAAGAAGCCGTGCGCCAGATACCTGCCCTGTGGGACAAGAGGGCCACGGCATACAGCGCACGAAGGGCGGAGAAAGATGTTCTTTCTCTGAAATTGAAATTGTTCTGAAATTGTAATTGTTCTCATTAGACTGACAAACTAAAACCGTAAAAAGTGAAAAACTCGCAAAACTCGCAAAAGCGTCTGTTAAAAAGCGAAAAAAGCGCAAAACTCTCGTTTGCTAAAACGCGTAAAAACCGAAAATGTTTACACGTGGAGACAGTACTTTACTCTAAAAAAAAAAAATGCGAGACACTTACAGACAATTACTGAGGTACTAATTCAAAATTATTTCACCTAAGATCTCTTAAGAATCCAACTCACCATGTTTCGCCGCGAAAAATTCACACCAACTAACTACATCCATCAAAACCATAAAGCAGCCAATAGTCAATGTTCAGCAACCCGCCCCAGCCATAGTCCCCATCCCCGAACTCACGCTTCCTGCAGGAGCCCTTCCACCCGCATCAGCTGGTTGGTGAGGTCGGCGTTCACTGTCCGCAGTCGCCAGAACTGCACCACACCGGCCAGGGCCACCAGTACGGCCACCGTCACGAGAATACGCTGGTGACCGCGCGACGGGCCCATCCTGGAGTGCATTGACAGGCGGCGAGGGGCGCGGGAACGGACAGCGCCGCTCTGTAAGATGGCACATCAGTCAGAACAGCAGGCAGGACGGCAGGCAGACACAAATAATGCCCCCAATAGGCAATGCTAAATGGTCGAGAATATGTACATAGGGCCCTGACTCCTAAGCACAGGGATGCCAGTCCTACACAAAGGAGATCAGGGTCATTGTCGGGGCATGCTTTAAGGGTTCTATTACAGGAATTGATCCAAAGAACATAGTCTTTGGCACCTATCTTAACTGTTCTTATGATTTTAAACATCAAGTGTTGAATAAAGTCTTCTTAACCCTCGCCGGCCGAGGGGGGGGGGGTGCCGCCCCCCCATAGGATTTTTTTCGCGATAGTTCCGAACACGCTGGCGATATAAAGCTGAAACTTGGCAAACCTGACCTTTGATTCAAGCCGAATCTTTTGACACCAACCACATGTTCCGGTCAGGTCAGGTCACTGACCTATGACGTCATAAGTAAACCTCTGCACGGTCTTCAGATGTCGCAACTTCGCAACGCCCTCACTGCCAGAGGAGTTTTCACAGGGAAATGAAACTTGCAGGATCTAATATCCATTACGAGTCTCACAACTTGTATATCTCGGATTTTTCCTAAAGGTCATGTGAGGTAAGGTCATTTTCGTGACCTCACCATTATAAGTCAATGGGGAAAAATGAAAACTGCTATTCTGGCGCCGGGAACGATCTCCAACTATCTCAAGCACACAGAATCGTGATTTGATGCACTCCTTGCAAGGTCACCTGCGTCACTTATGCAATGTTGACCTTGCGTGACGTCATTCATGACGTCATTAGGGTCATATTAGTTTTTCGTCAATAGCTCCCGATCAAATCGAGCAAGCGAGTCGGGAAGGCCACCAATGGACTCAGGAACACCTGCCGAATCGAATGACATGCAACATGACCAACTTCGACCAATTTCGTGACCTGGGGGCGCTGACCTGACCGTGACCTGAGGTCAACACCCTAAGTTGACCTCACCCAAAAAAAAAGTAAATCATTCGACGCGCCTGAGCTAGGCAAACACGATGCTGCCAAAATCGCGGCTCTGCGGCCTTTTTTGCGAAGTTATTCACAAAAAACGGAAATGTACCTTGGGACACTTGACCTGCCCTCAGAGGTCACCAGTTGACATAGGACCTTAAAATCGGGTATCAATCTCTGCGTCTCGTAACGGCGCACAGGCTCGTTTTTCCGCGACGCGCTAGCTCCACTAGGGGCAAAACGGCGAGGGGGGTCGTACCCGCCCCCCCCCCTCGGCAAGTGCATATGTAGAAAGCCAATAGGTCCGGCGAGGGTCAAGGCATGAATTTCATCCTTATCCATGATACTCTACTTTTGCCCCATCCTGAAATTCAAGAAATCAAAAAATAAAGACCTCACAGGAAAGAAAAACCATTATCAGCTGGAAAAGTAACACAACACTTGAATACATATGGTCTCTTTATGCTAAATCATTAGACATCAAATCATTGTCCCACTGGAGCAGGCTGAGTCCCACTGTGTCCCGCTGGGACCGGCTGAGTCAAATTTTGTCCCGCTGGGCGCTGGACCCGGCTGAGTCCCAATATGTCCTGCTGTAGTCGGCTGAGCTCCAATTTGTCCCGCTGCAGTTGTCTGAGTCGCACTATGCCCTGCAGTAGTCGGCTGAGTCCCACTCTGTTCCCCTGTAATCAGCTGAGTCCCACTATGTCCCGCTTGACACGTTCTCTAGAGAGTTTTTCATAATCTAATGATGTCATTTAATTCATCAGTACTTCCAATCCATGTCAATACACTTACAATATTGAACATACCAATCTTAACCCTCGCCCCGTTGGGCGGGGCCATTTTGCCCCCCCCCCCCCTGTGGTTTTTCCTGAATAGCAAGAAAACGGCGGCGCGCAGCACCGCCAAATTTTCAGTACCTTCCCGGGCATCAATTTGACACCTTCACACCAAATTTCAAGTCTTAGGTCACCTTAGGTCAGGAGTTATTGAGGTCAAACTGAGGTCATGTTCGAGCAAAAATGAGCAAAAAAACATGCAATCTTGAAACGCTCACCAAATCTACAGTTATCAAGCAATTTCAAAGTTCTTTATATGGTCTAGTAGACAAAAAGCGACGCTACAAAACTGCTATCTCGGATTTTCAAAATTTTGGGTTTTTGACCCCTAAAAATTTAAAAAAATTGATTTTTTAAGAAAAACTAAAAAAAAAATCCAAAATTTTCCCGAATTTCGAAAAAACCGGAATATGTGATAGTCCCTGCGCTCTTCTATATACATACCAAATTTCAGATCGATATCTCGTTTTTTGGCCAAGTTATAGCGAAAAAACTGTTCAAAAATGATGACGTCAAATTTTTGAACTCAATTTTTAGCGATTCTAGACCACGTACGGCAAAACAAAGACCACCATTGAACTCCCCGTGACGAACCATTGAACTCCCCGAAAAAAAATCCAAAATATTTCCGAATTTCGAAAAAACCGGAATATATGTGATAGTCCCTGCGCTCTTCTATATACATACCAAATTTCAGATCGATATCTCGTTTTTTGGCCAAGTTATAGCGAAAAAACTGTTCAAAAATGATGACGTCAAATTTTTGAACTCAATTTTTAGCGATTCTAGACCACGTACGGCAAAACAAAGACCACCATTGAACTCCCCGTGACGAGCTGCATCGATTCGATACCCATTCTATGCAAAAATATTAACTTTGAAATTTGACCTAATTTGACCTGACCTTGACCTGACCTTGACCAAAACGTGACCTAAGCTGGCCCCAAAGGCTGCCTGACCCACATAATCGCATTCGTCATGTAAAATGGACCATAAAACATGTATCACACACTTTCATATTGTGACCCCCGTGACCTGACCTCTGTGACCTGACCTGGTATCAGTGACCTCAAATAACAAAATATGTGTTTGAAGAACATTCCCCCATCGATGATTTTCAATGAAATGCATTTTACTCGATTTTACAACGCATTTCTTGAAAACCCTGTAAACGGTGAAAATTGGACCTTTGACCTGACCTGTGACGTCATCGGTTTGACCTAGGTCAATAAGATTGGGTCACAAGGTAGTTCCCTGCTAGGGCTATCCAACACCGTTTGCCGCTTGTCGCTAGGTTGCGTGGTTCTCGAGATCTTCGGGGGGGGGGGCAAAATGCCCCCCCCCAACGGGGCGCGTTGCTCGGCAGAGCCCAACGGGGCGCGGGTTAACTGTTTACCCCGCTGTAGCTATTGATCATGCCTGCGCTACCATTACCCAATGTTGTAGGTCCAGACTGGAAAACACCCATACACTACGCCGGACGGCCGCGGGCGCGAGACCCTCTTGCGCCGAAATTCGGCGCAAGCGATTTTGCGCCGAAATTTCTGCGTGATTTGCGCCAAACATTAGGTGCCTATTTGTGCGAAAATTAAGCCCTTTTCTTATAAAGCACATGTGCACATCTACTGATCAAGGCTATATCAACCAGACAGACTAGACAGAGTGTTTCGGGGCCTTGTACGCTCTCCCATGTTTGAGCGTCAGAATGAGTTTTTTTTTTATTTCCACGTAAACCCAATACCTCGGCGGGAGCCAGCGAGGGCCGGGCAGCGGATCAGCACGTGCTCCGGCACATCAGCCTCTTCTCGGCTCACGATGCAAACTGCAGAGCGCCGCTGGGCACCGCTTGTCTGGGCACTGCTGGCACGCGGGGGAGTGGAAACAGCCGTTTCGGTGCCGTACTGGAGCGAGCGGCCCCGGTGGCCCGCCCTCATCTGATGCACCGAAATGGCATCCTCTCGGTCCTCTCCGGGGATAGAGAGCGGCGGCGTGCTCCCGAGGAGTGGTTTGAATAGTGATTCTGAGCAGTTGTCGCGCCACTGATGCGAGGCCGCACAATGTCGCCCTGGTCAGCGGTCGGGCGTTTGAGGGCAGGGCGGCCGCCTGTTTTGCCAGGTCGTCCGCGCTCTCATTCCCCTCGATACTGCAGGGGGCAGGAACCCACTGCTTTTGCTTAACGACGCTTGGAGACGTTACACAAGGTTTTCCGTACTTATCTCTACCCCAAAGGTTGAGGCCTCACCTGGGCGTCCGTTCCTCCGCTGAGTAGACTCAGGGCGGCTCGCCAGTTCGAGCACGCGATGACCGGGGCGGGGGGACGTCTCGTCCCACAACCTCTCCAGAGCCGCCCGCGGGGCGAATCTGCTGCTAGATTGACCAGCATACCGCATAAATTCGGTGACCATCTTTCGCCAAGAAAATTATGCGTCCGCCCTCAGCCCTGCGCTGAAAAATTTGTCCGCCGCAATGCGCTGAATTCTGCGCATGCGAAGTTACGCCGGACGTGCGCTGAAATTTTCGGTTCGATCCTGCCACTATGCCGGACATATTCAGCATAACGTGCATTTTTTCCAGTCTGGTTGTAGGTCAGTAGATAAGATTCTTTCAGGTTATATGTTTTTTATCTTCACCATGCTTCTTCACATTAACCGTCTATTCTGCCATCCGAAACATACCCACTCCCCTCTCCCGTTTTTAAAGCGGTTTGCATTGTCCCTAGACACCTTGCTACTTTTGCCCATTTATGAGTTGGAGTCAAGGCAATTTTCACTGATATTAATATTCACCCACCTTATTCTTGAAGATGTATCCCTTCAGCTATGTTCTCCACAAGGCCGTCAGAGTAGGGTGTAATTCATAGATCCTCCACAAGTTATTTCAAATACCTACGGTATTTGAATATACGAACCACACTATCTTCCGTAAAACTTCACAGTTGAGTGAAGTTCACACTTCTCTGTCTACCCACCTACTAATTCAATACCAAATTGAGTTGGCAGTAGCTAAACCCAAACCCTCTAAACACTTCGCCCACTTTTCAGCTTTAGGTGCTCCCGCGCGCTCGACGTGGCAAAGAACTTCGCAAACCCAATGGTCAAAAGGCTGTTCAAAAACTCGGACACGCTGGGTGGGTGCTGCTGTTACCATGCTGTAACCAATTAAATGACGTAACATCTTTTCTATGAACCAATAAGAACAGCATCTTTTCTTGCGCAGGTTTTCTGAACAGCTGCTTATGTCACCAATGCGCATACTATGAATCCAATTTTGATCTGTTGTTTTTTTAGGGGGACTAATACTTCGGCAGACCAAAACCGGGGTTTCTACACCAAATCTGTGGATGCTGTCTCACCAAATATCGGTATGTCCTGCACCAAATAAATTACAGGTTATTTGAACCAAAACCAGAATTTCTGCACCAATATAGTCTTTTCTACTAAATTCTGGAAGGTTGCCAGGTATTTACGTTTATGTGTGGATATCTGCACCAAAAAGCGTAACAATGCACCAAATGTAATTTCGCCGCACTAATTGATTAAATGATTAGGTAATACACGTCTTTGCATAATGCACCTTTCGGGCATGGCAAGGCTAGTGTAAACTTTATGGAATTATCGTTAAATTTTTGGAATCCACTGGCAATTGCTTATCGTTAGCTTCGTCCATACCAATCACTCATCAGTGATCCTAATAATCCCCGACCCTAATGCCTATTACACCTACGGACGTTGCATTGATAGAATATCAAGAGTCTCCTCCCTCTTCCCGCCAATTGCCGGCGGTCGCCGATCGGCCCTTTCGATGGTCTTCGCATTTTCTTACCCCGGCACGGTTATCATGCTGTACTTCTCGTCTCTCAGAACTCAATACAGATCATCTCATAACAAAGCACATTTCTTTATATTGTACATTCTGCTCGCCCTACAAGCGGCCAGGCTACACAACACACAAGCAAGATCGGAGTTCGGACATCATCATACATACATCAGCCTGACTAATGGTGTCAGTTACAGAAAATACGGCAACTAATGCCAAACCAAATGCCAGTCAATACCATGACAAAATACCAAAAACCATACACTTTCGGGAAATTGGGTGATGATACAAAGTACAAACCTTTTACCAAATTCACTGACTCTTATACATTAGTGAGGAATACCGACAAAATGCTGAAAAGTTTGTGGCATCTAATGACAATTTTATATCCTGGCACATCGAACCTAGACTTCCCACAGGGAGATGGCGCCACGACGGCCGCGCACACGTCACTGTCGCTGGAGTGCGGGTTTTGCCTTCGCGGGACGACCGCGTTTTCGGTTCTGCCCGATCGGCACGGTTTTGGCGGCCTCGGGCACGGACAGCATATCACGAAAATAGGCCACCCCCACGACATGTTTGCAGATGTTACCCTTTAGGTACACTGGACAGGTACATCTAAGCTTCCACACATCACTTCCGTCACCTTCGTCTGTCACTACCCATACTCTGAACCTGTATCGGGTGTACACATCAAATGACTCACAGCGGTCTACACCCCCCTCTACTACGTCTTTGAAGTTGTCCAGGTCCTCTTGCGTGATCTGAGTGTCACTTCCAGCCGGTATGTATATCTTCTTGAGGCCATCCTCCTCTGAGACCAACGACTTCCCGCTGTTGGTCCACTGGAAGCCTCGTGTATGGAGGTCCAGGCTGATGGCCAGGGACTCGGAGAACACCCTCCGTGTGCCACAGTCTCGTGACCAGTGGCGCACCATCGTGAGCGACAGCACCAAGAACTGACCCACCGGCAGACGCTCTCGCATCGTGTGTTGTTTTTTTATCTCCCCGTTGAAGGCCTCAAGACCGTTATTGGTGCTGGGAGACGCCACATCATGGCCTTCCGACCACACAGAGAAGCGCTGCAGGTACGTGGTGGAAAAGTACCTGCAGAACCTTTCTCCATCCTCCGTGGGCCACTGACGCCTCCACTTCTCCAGCATACGCGCCCCAAACCAACGGAACTCAGCAGCAGTGAGGCAAACCTGCAGGTTTGCCAAGTCCTGGAGGAATATCTTCCGGATGGCCTCTGGTGCTCCACGAAGGCGCGAGTCTACTGCTTTTTTAACGTGGAACCAGCAGGACCGCCTAATCGCTTGCGGGAACACCGCCTCCACAGCATTCGAGATGGCCTCGCAGCAGTCGGCGACGACCACACGCGGACGGAAGACCTCGTTCGTCTCTCGTTCCACGCTTTCCTTCAGACACAGCAGCAGGGCTGCGTAGTCCTCCGTCGTTTCTGTGCTGGTGACAGAGTACAGCGACGGGAAAAACTTCCCCTGTCGATCAGTTACTCCTGTGATGAGCACGGGACACCCGTTCCAATTAAGCTTGTACGTGGCATCCACGTGAACCACGTCACTCTTTGCCGCGAGACGCAGCAGCTTGCGGGTGGTGAACTGCACCCTAAAGTGCCCTCTGTCTGCACTTGACGCCCAGTCAATGACGTAGGGCTCATCCTCATCATCAGGCACCTCAGAATGTGACTCGCACCACTCCCGCAGTTCGGCGTAGTTCATGGTCGGTTTTCCATATTTGTTCTTTTTCAGCGTCCGAAGATAGTTGGCCAGCTTCTTCTGACTCGCCTCGATGCCCTGGTCGCGCAGGCTGCGCTGCACCTGAAAAAAAAGAAAAAAACGTCAGCGATGCATCCTTACTCGTGTCCCACAGCGGTTGGTTTACAGCCAAACATACTTCGCTGGGGGAGGGACCAGTCTGCTTCACCTGCTAAACTCCACAACAAAGAAGGGTAACGAAACAGGCAAGACGGCGACCGACAATTCAAGCTAGGCAGGCAATGTGGAGGCCAACAGGGGACTTTTCAGTCCCCTATTCAAACTTCTAGCTTCATTGTGTCATTAATCATAAAGCCGCCTGTGACCCCGTTGGACCTCATGGTTGCACTCATGATCATGATTGGCCAGATAAAAGGTGATTCTGAAATAAATTGATCCATCCGATACGTTTCGTCAAAAGAGAATTTTTTTGACATGAACCTTTAAAGGAAATAGTTCACTTTTTAACATGGGTTTTGAACTGGAATAGCAGTTCCGTAGCTTGGGCTGAGACGAGCATAAATCAGGAGCTTTTACAGCCCAACGATCACCCTAGGCAAAGATATTCTATTTCTCGTCCCGAAAAAGGTGTCTTGCGTTGAGGATGTGTGCCTTGCATATATTTCCATCCAGTATGAAAAGAGCATGGGTCCCGAAAATTCTTCAGAAACTAGAGAATTTATCTACGAGAACTCTAGAGAAATTCTCGTACTGATCAATTAGGACATTCAGGGGAACATTATCAGATCGAGCAGATCGCCCAAATGCTGGTGGCTGCGATAATTTCTCTGTTTCTGAAGAATTTTCGGGACCCATGCTCTTTTCATACTGGATCGCGTGTGCCTTACAGAAACTGAAAAGTTCTTCCTATATCAAAACATAGAAAAAAATCTTTTGTTATAAAAAGGTTTTATTTTCTTTGCTGATTATTTTGAACATAAAAAATCATAAGTCGTTGCAAAAAAAAATAATTTCGTGAAAGTGAACTATTTCCTTTAACCTTCGCCCCAGTGGGGGGGGGGCATATGTTACCACCACCCTGCAGCGTTTTTTTTTTGCGCCGCGCCACTTGGAGTAGCTTTTTGTACATCAATTTTGGACAATGCGTAAAATTTTTGACCCCAGGTCATGTCAGATCAGGTCACCAGGTCAAGTTAACTGACCAAGCCTGAAAAAGTTTGCAATCATGTCCAGCCTGCAGTGTTTGTCAAAAAGGTTTTAAACTTGGTGGATTGCATGATGTTATGGGCGCCTATAATTTTGTATATCTCGGATCTTTTATATCCGTGACCTAAGGTCAGGCCAGTGGCGTGACCTTACCATTATAAGCCAATGGAGAAAAATGAAAATGCCTCTAGATCCGTGTGTACGCTTAGGAACAGTCCTAATATTTCAGAATCACAATGATTTGGACCACCGTGACGACCAAGGTGTCCTTTTTGCTGATAGCCTCTAGAAAGGTCATCCGAGGTCATTTGAGGCTACAAACAGATTTTTGCCAATAACTCGATTGGAAAGAGATAGAACGCTGGGGATGGTCTCATTGTGTTTGTCTTACCGAAACGCATCGACTGATATGCAACATGACCTTTTCGGGTCAGGTCATGACCTTGACCTAAGGTCAAATTTTCAAGTTGACCTTTCAAGGTCAAATTATAGTTCTTTCGACGCGTCTCGGCGAGAGGAACACGATTCTGGCTATATAAATGTCCTGACTTTTTTAGTCAAAAGTTAGTCGAAAAACACTTTTCGTAAAAATAGCTATTTTTGGAGTTTTTGCCCTCTAGAGGCTAAACCGTTGACCTGAGGTCAATTTTGATGATGAGTGACCTTATCGAAAGAAGAGTTCAAAAGCTATCGATTGCTTTTCCATGCGTTTTTCTAGCTATCATAGTTCCTGAGATACCTAAATGCATGTTTTCTGAGAAATATAACGACATTTGGCGAATTTTGACCTTTGATGACCTCCAGTGACCCCAATATTGCTCCAAGATGAATCGACTTCTTTTTACCGCGTCTTTCTAGCCCTCTTAGTTTTTGAGTTAGAGGTGGGTGGTAACATATGCCCCCCCCCCCCCCCACTAGGGCGAAGTTGGCTGAGACCGCCACTGGGGCGCGGGTTAATTGCCTTCTAATGTAAATGTCACCAAACCGACCTGCCCTGACCTGACCTCGGCCACTGAAATAAAAAAAAAACAAGGCGTATGGTTTGTAAGGAACGTTGCCCTAATGATATTTTCTAAGTTTCAAATCAAATCAATCAGATGCTCTAGGCCGGTACTAAAAGTGGCAGAACTGATGGCTTAATAGTTATGCGAATACAGCGGCATTGCGCGCCGCCGTTTTTTTTCCGCCGGGAGCAAAACGTCGAGAGGGTGGCCGAAATGAGCCCACCTCTCTACATGAGCCACAAACCTCAATTAAAATCCCCAAATGCGTTCTTTATTAACCCGCGCCGACCTAGTGATCGGCGCCAACCGTGCTGAGCCGGAAGGAGAGGGAGGGGGGGGGGGGAGGGCGTCTGACCACCCCGTCTAACTTGGCTCCTGGGCCACGGCGGCGTTCGAAAGAGCGTCCAAAATAGCAAAAAAAAAAATCCCAAATGTTTTCCGAATTCTGGAAAAACGGAATATATGTGATAGTACCTACCGTCTTTTATCCACATACCCAATTTCAGATTGATACCGCTTTTTGGCCAAGTTATAGGGAAAGAAAAACAACTTCAAAAATGATTACGTCAAATTTTCAAACTCAATTTTTAGCAATTCTAGATTTCATAGCGCAAAACAAATACCACCATTAGACTCCCCGTGACAAGCTGCATCAAATCGATACCATTTAATTCAAAAATATCAACTTTGAAATGTGACCTTATTTGACCTGACCTTGACCTGATATTCACCAGATGACAGTCTAAACTGGTCCCAAAGGTTGCCTGGCCCACATAATCGCATTTGTCGAGTAAAATGGACCATAAAACATGCATCACATGACGATTTTATGATGTGACCCTCAGTGACCTGACCTCTGTGACCTGACCTGGTATCAGTGATCTCAGATAGCAAAATATGTGTCCGACGAACAATTTCCTATTAATGATTTTCAATAACATACCAATTTACTCGATTTGACCATACATTTCTTGAAATGCCCGTAAACGGTGAAAATGCGACCTTTGACCTGACTTGTGACGTTATCGGTGAGACCGAGGTGAATGAAGCTCCCGCTCCAGCTCCCGCATCATCCAACATTCACAAATGAATTGTTTATCCCTGTTTTCAACACTTTCTCGGGCCTTTCTGACTGGCAATTTTCCACTCTCAGCCGTCTTTGTAGTGACGAATATTTCCCTCCGACACCCAATCCAAAATATAATTTTGGGACACTAAAAGCAAGGCATGAACTAATGTTGTAATGAAGAAGATGTGATGAAGGGCATGCCTTTTAGGTAAAAACACAACCCACACAGGTACATACTTGACATACATGACGCCACATTTTGCTCATGGTACTCACGCTCGCTACTTTTCTCTCATAGGACCATGCAATGAAAGGGCAAAGGAGGTCCCCTATGGGCGAAATGTAGCTACACAAATCAACCTATATCCACATGATGCTAACAGAAAAACTCATAGGGACACCAATTGCACATTTTAATTCCTCTAGGGCTATACAGCATATAGGTAGTGGGACCATTTGAACAGACCAGCCCCATGTGCACTGCAAATTATTCTCCATGACCCCATGTCAATTGGATTGGGACAAGAAGCAGATTAATGGTAGCCCATGACAGTGTCTGTGACCTGGGTGGAGTTTAATATTTCAGACTAATCAGACTTACTATGACACCAGTGACCATAGTTATGCTTTCAGCAATATCAGGTTTGTATTGTAAAACAAGCACTGAGCATGTCAAGCTTGAGATTGGAAAATGTCCACAAACCCACAGTTTACCCTAATAGCCATGCCACTATGCACTGGCCACATAAATACCATTTGAGAAAAAATTAGGTCACCAACAAAGATATACTTACAGCCAGTGGTTTCTGAATGCCAGACTGAAACAGGAAGTCGACTGCCTTCTTGACAGATGGCTTCAGGCCATGCCCAGCACCTCCACTAGCAGCAGATGCCTCCAGGTGGTCTTGGACCTCCAGATGAGAGTGCTCCACTCCATTCTGCAAGGTACATTGGAAATGGAACCTGTTAATATGCTGTCACATAGTCATCTTTCACACAAATGCATACATCTTATGCACCAGTGTACACCATATCAATGATCAGCTATTTGTCATTGTCAATCATCACGCAATACAAATCATCACGCAATATAAAATTAAACTTTGAACACAATTTTGTGCCTGTGGCTGGATCATAATGAAAATGATCTCATTTAACATCACTTAATTCCTAACAAGCAGCTATGTCCATTGTCCATTGACAAGTCTCAGACCATAAATTTCTGTTCTACAGCATTACAAAATGTATGAATGCATGTGGAGTCACTCTGAGGTGTCTGATCTAACATCTGGAGATACAGCAGTTACCCTATGTTGTGAACATATGGTAAGGTAGGTTCCACTAATCAGCTAGTACGTAATTGGTTGCCTATGTCACATTAATCAATCTGAAATGATGAGCACGTCATATGGCTCTTGAAAACCATTCCTGAAATGTCCACACTCTGTTCAATACTCCTCGTAAAAAAGGAGCAACTAAATGATCACAAACTTATTGAAAAATATAAAATTTGAACAACAGGTATCAAGATCAGGGCCCTGTTTCACCGGTGATAGCAGCACGCTGCTATCAAAAGTGTCAAATTGGGTTTTCATGGAAACATCAACAAACCATGCCGTCGTCAATTTGTGTGATGTCATCAAATATTGCTGCTAACATCTTCACGGCCGTGTGAATGTATCAAACGCATTCAACGAGACAGCAACTCTGTTCCAAACGTAGCTATGAAAAAGCTCACGGATTACACGAAACGTCATTAGTGTGACGTCATCGCATTACGTCAGCTCGCGCAATTTGATAGTAGCGTGCTGCTATCACCGGTGAAAAGGGCCCAGGTATCAACAGGTATCAAGGTTAATTAGTCTGAAAAATGTAGACAAGACATTGGTAATGGTATTTGTAAGTAGGTAACTCACCGAGAGCACTGATACTGTTGTCTTGTTGCTGTGGTAGAGAACCATCATCTGCCTTTTGCAGGCAGCATTCCGGCACACATAATATGCCTTGTCCCCTTCTGAAGTCTTATGAGTTCGGCAGAGACGCCATCCTGCATCACTTTCTTGCCCAGAGTTCATCATGGCAAGAGCAGCTTGTTGATCAGCCAGATCAATCCAGATGGTCTTCCAGGCAATGCCTTGGCCTCGATGCTTTTTGGCACTTGGCTGCACTTCGCCATCCTGACCATTACTACCAACGCGAAACTGAGCGGGAGTGGTCTCCGACTGAAACTCGCTCAATGAGTCATCCGATTCCTCCATTGCCGGCTTTCCTCTCTGTGCACGAGACAACTTGAACTGCAAAGCTAGAGTCTGTAGTAGTGACTTGGCTTGATTACACACGAGATATAGAAATCCGCCCTAGGAGACAGCTCAAAGAACGGCGTGACACCACAATCAAAGCACCGAAGCGAAGAACGCTGCCGACGACGCCACGACGCCACGAGGGTACTTTCAAAGCGCCGGAAGCGCCGCGGCTGGCCGCGGCACGCAGAGTCGATGCCAGATATTCTACTGAAATTATACCATTTGATCCAGTAGATAAAATATTCCTACTAAAATTGGTGCATTCTTGCATATATTTGGTGGAGGGAATCCACTTTTCGGTAAATTTTTGCTTCATTTGGTAGGATTTTCCCTAAAATTGGTACAGTTTCCTGAACATTCCTGTTTTGGTGATCAATTTTGCTTATTTTGGTAAAACAAATTCCTTATTTGGTGCTAACCAACCGATTTTGGTAAAAGATGTCACATTTGATGAATATTTACCAAATTTGGTGCAATTTTACAGTTTTTGGATCTGACAAAAAATGTAAGCCAACTCAACTTTGTCAAGATTACTTTACTACTTGCTTTGAATGGCCAGTTCACCATTTTACTGCTGTTTTTGAAATATTCATTGATTCATTACAACGATTTTAATCGATTATTATGAAATATTTGAGCATTCTTTGTAAAATGAATGCCCAGTATTTATTCCTGAGGCAGGTCTTTAAATTACTCGTCTTTTCTCTTTACTGTGCTTTTTCAATTTCGACCATTTCGACTATATTCCTATTAAAAAAGCTACTAGATATTTCTGGCAATAATTATTTCTGCCCTTTCGAAGCACTCTTGTAGCAAAATTGTTTATATTAGTTTATGAAGAAAAGTGATCTGATTTCTTTATAGACAGTTTATAGCTTTTCTGCGAATATTTTCAAGTGTACATTTCTACTACTAGCAAGGCAGTATATACTGCTAGTAGCTTACTGAATACAAATCCGACGCCACACGTGGGCACTCTTTTTGGCACCGCGTGCTCGCAGCCATGGCGGATTTGGCGAGCGAGGTCTCATCTTTGGTGCTTTCACACCTTTCCCAGGTGGATCCCGGATTAGCGAAGCAGTATAAATCAAAAAGAAAATCAGTAAGTATATATGTTGGCTACTCCAGCCCCAGAATGAGCTGAATAGTCAAATGAGCCTTGGCCCTTGGTTCAATTTTCGGCATTTCACTACCTGTCTTGAATTTTCCAGTTTCTGATGGGCCTTACTATACCTACAATTGGATTAAATCAGCTGGCGACGCACGATAGCTATGGCGTTTATCTATATAAATATATATAGATGGACATGAACACGTAAAATGGCACTGAAAAAAATAAATATCAATATTAAGTTGTTTATATCTAGCGTTGATATATAACAAACTCTGTTAGCGCCACCAAACGGCGCCAGCTGGAAAATTAGCCAGAAAATAGTAAGGTCCATTCTTACACTTATGCTTATACTTGAGGTCTAGCTACACTATGCGGGATCCTGCGTCAGTGATCTGCGAGTTTGCGGATTTTGCAGGAAATCGGTACGCAGGTCAAGCTCAGCTAATAGGAAATGCACAGGGTCGGCTACATTGGGGTCACACAGATTCAGTCAAGGAAATCCCGGATGTTAAGTACAGGAAATGCAGGATAGTCAGGACGGTCAGGAATAGGATGTTCCGTACCGATATAAAGTTCAGAGCTACAAACTTTTTTGCAGAATCTGCGAGATTGCGTTATATGATAGTTGTTGGCGCACTTGGTGGCGCACAGTATGAATCCAAGTGACAAAATTAATAATTGTTTCTTTAATTTTCATGTGTTTTTGATGTTTTATTAACAAAATGAAATAATTATTTATAAAATAGTATAGCAGATAGCAAACTTAAGGGCTTGTTGCGAAACCATTTATTAGTTGTTATTTTTACGTCAGCGTACACTAATTCACGGAAATTCTGTAAAAATCGCAGAAACCGATGTCAAGGGAGTCTCACAATCATTGAGCTGCAAATCATGCACGTAATTTTCTGGACGGTCGCGCATAGTGTAGCTCAGCCTTTATACTTATAAAATGCGGAATTAAGGAAGGCCTTTTGGTATTTGTTTAGTTCAGGACCGGCAGCCTTAACTTTCATGCGAACCCCAAGTGATAGTAAGAAGCATATCACATGACATAATTTGAAGTTTTAAACCACATGTGAAATATTTACCGTCACCACCGGCGGCGGCTGCTACAGCAGTAGCACTCCACCAGCCGTTTGCGCCACGTGGAAAGTATTCATAAGTGACATCATAATAATACTTGTGGTGAGCAGTGCAGTGCCGAAGGCAATGCCTTAGGAGAGATTACAGGCAATGCTAACTCAAATATTTACTAACAAATATTTTTAGGTTAAGTAATTGTGTATCTAGCTTCAGGCGGAAGGCCTGAAGTATCTAGTGTCGTGTTAGTGAAACAAATGACTAATTTGCAGATCTTGATGATTGTACAGTCCACAGCAGAAGTAATGTGGGGCTTCAGTTATGGGTATGTTCTGCTTCTGAAGCTTAGGAACGATTAGCCAGACTACAATGAAACTTTGAATGTAGCTTATATGTATCGTCACCCTTGCAGCTGCAACTTTAGCTATTGACATCTTCTTTTCGATCACTCCGCATTAAACAATCGCCAGTCAAAGCCAACCGTTGAGATTGGTAAAACCCTACATTACTTTAGCGGTGGGCTGTACCTGGCTGATTGTAACTTTGCATTGGGGGAAGCAGCCCAAGTTGTAATGCTTCAAGCATTTGGTGTGGTGTTAATGAAAAATGACTAATTTGCACTTATTTTCTTTTTACAGCTTCCACTGGATGATTCTGCTCCAACGCTTGATGCAGTTGTGAAGTTTTACAAAACGTAAGTTGAAGTCTCTTCCTATTGCCTTTAATTTTGAGTAACAGGATTGAGGATGGCAGATATGAGAAATTGCACAGTGAAAATATTCGCAGAAATTGTGCCGGTCCCGTAGCTCAGTTGGTAGAGCGTTGGACTCCGCGTGGCGAGAGCATGCGTTCCCGGTTACAACAGTCCGGGTTCGAAGCGCGACGGGCGCTCAACATTTATGGGCCTCCTGACAGGTATGGTTGCGGTTGATGGCAGGCCGTAGCCAGGCGAAGCTAGTGAGGGGACCGGCCGTGCGCGGCTATGTGCGCACGGTAAACTTTGGACCCTTAATTCTGCCATAGAACTGGAATTGCGCGATCGGAGGGTAGAGGGCAGGGTCATCGCAACAAGCTTCGCTTAGTGGTGGCTCTGTCCTTGTGAATCCTTCCTATCAAAAGGTTCGGACTAAATTTGTATATATATATATATATAACAAAATCAGGTTGTCTTACATATCAGACTCTATAGCTGCTCCATATGCTCAGGAGTGATAAATTGACAATATTGTGGAGGCACTTCTTCCACCCTGATCCCACCAGGAGCAATGACCCCAAATGCCACAAAAAAAAACTACTAGCAGTAGCGACGCACCACCAACTTCCCAGCATTATAAAACAAATGTCATTGCAGGCTAAAATATTCTTGGAATTTCCTCTCCTAGATGGCTAATCAGAACTATCCAACCCTTACATTACTTTACCTAGCCTAACAAAACCTAACTCACCCTGAACCAAGGCATTAATGTAGGTACTAGGAAGGTACCTACTACCTAATTTATTTGTGTTAATCTTTGCAACAGCTGTGTCAACAATTGAGCTTGTTGGCTGTGCTTGGATAGTGTTTGGTGTTAGATAAGATGTGTCCCCTTCTTCCAGCCTCTAATGGTATGTTTTTCCTTTCATGTCTATATTTGGTAAATTCCTGCAGATCTCAGACTGAGCTGAAGGCTGGGCCCTGTTTCACCGGCGATAGCATCACGCTGCTATTACACGTGTCAAATTGGGTTTCCGTGGAAACATCAACAAACCATGATGTCGTCAATCTGTGTGATGTCTTCAAATATTGCTGCTAATATCTTCACGACCATGCGAGCAAACAAATATATCAAACGCATTCAACGAGACAGCAACTCTGTTCCAAACGCGGCTATGAAAAAGCTCACGGATTACACGAAATATCATTAGTGTGACGTCACATTACATCAGCTCGCGCAATTTGATAGCAGCGTGCTGCTATCACTGGTGAAACAGGGCCCAGGTGTAGCTAACCATGATGAGTTCTATCTGTTCCCTCTGAATATTCATAGCTGTTCTGTGTATGCTCACACTGATCTATCATATTGTGCCCTTATATTAGGAAACTGCTTATAAGGTGCCAGGAATGATCTAATCCTTCTCAAGCACTGGGGTCCATTGAACATCCTACTTGCAAGGTGCAGGGCTTTGTTTTTGCATTCTTACTTTGCCTGACATCTTATGCTATCTCTTAGTATGCCCCAGGCACAGACTTCTCTATATATAGAGAAGTCTGTGCCCCAGGTTATAGGTAAGTGGCTGGTTGCCAGCATTGCAATAATTTATCTGTTTTCTATGAATAAGTCTGAAGGCTGTTAGAAAATGTTGCCAAAGTGTCTACTTGAAACCTGTTCTCATTTTTAGTACCTGTTTCATTATATTGAAGTGTCTGTGCCATTCAGAGTTATTAGGTAGGTATCCTAAAACTGGTGCCGGTCCCGTAGCTCAGATGGTAGAGCGTTGGACTCCGCGTGGTGAGAGCACTCGTTCCCGGTTATAACAGTCCGGGTTCGAAGCGCCTATCCTTCTTATCCTTGATTCCTTCCTATCAAAAGGTTCGGACTAAATTTAGAATTAAAAACACGCACACATTGGCTGACCAGCTACCCTTTTGTTGGAGGGTTGTAGCTATGTTATTTGCAGTCATAAGAACTTTTCTTCTGCAATTCCCAACCTTGTCGAGTTAGGAGTCAGCAAAGTTATCAATCAGATCATAATGACCTTGCGAATCGATCAACTTGCAACATGATCTCCCTTGACCAGCTTGCTGACCTGACCGACCCAGACCTCTGGCCAGCAGGCTTGAATTAGCTTCCTGGGTCAACACCCAACCCAAAGATGACTTTTTCCTGACATAAAGTATTCTGTCAATTCAGCATTCGACGTGAAAATACAATGAATATGGTAGTCATTGCTCTGCAGATGTTTTTGCTGTAAGTTTAGTCAGAAGTCATCCAAACCTTTGGCTCTTGACCTGACCTCAGAAATAACTGCTTGAGTTGAGACTAAATTGCTTGACATCAGTCGCTGCACAGGGCGGACACTTGTTTTTCGTGAGGCTGTAGCTCTCTAGGTTTGTTTCAGTGTAGGTGTAAAATTGCCAACTCGCGACTACTGAAGGTTCCGTCGAGATCGGCCCCTTTTTGTGCGAGATATTCGCGAATACCGAGGGGGTCCGTTCGACCTCCCAGAAGTACGACGGTTAATAAACATTCCAAGTCTGCTGTGGGTTTGAGCCCAGAATTTTTTTTAGGCATTGCCATAAAGCAGCTTTTCTTGCAACTGAAAAGAACATATTGCTAGCTTAAGTGCGAACCTTTCCGCTTTATCTTTTGAAACGAGTTTTTTTTTTTACTCTTCTTTCCCTCAAATTTTCCTGTCTTTTATGTCGTCATATCGCTTTGTAGTTTGCTAAACAAAGTGTCAACTTTCGTTCAGTATGCGACTTTTTTTAATTTGGGCTCTCTTGCTTTCAGGAAATCGCCTAATGTAAGCATCATCAAAACACCGAAGAAGGCACAAGTGAACGGAAAAGCCAAAGGAGGTAAAAAACAAGAATCGAGCTCAGAAGACTCTGAATCTGACAGTGATGACGAGCCCGTGCCTCCTCCGTCGGCTAAGAAGACCCCTGTGAAGCCCATTGCTGCAAAGCCGGCCTCGTCAGATGAGTCGTCAGACGATTCGAGTGACGAAGAACCAGCTAAGAAAATCGTATTGGCTTCTCCGAAGAAAGTCGCAGCCACTCCAGCAAAGAAAGATGAGTCTTCTGATGAAGAGTCCAGCAGCGAAGATGAAGCCCCCAAGAAGGCTGCTACTCCAGCAAAGCCGACGCCGGCGAAGCCAGCAGCAAAGAAAAAGGAGAGCTCTTCTGAGGACTCTAGCAGCGAGGATGACGAACCTCCGGCAAAAAAGATTGTGCAACCGGCGAAACCGAAAGTGGCAGCAAAACAAGAGTCATCAGAGGAGGATTCAAGCAGTGATGAAGACGAGCCACCCAAGAAGGTGGTGGCAACACCTGCCAAGGTGCCCGCCGCAAAGATCGCTCCCAAGAAGGCATCTTCATCAGAAGAGGACTCCAGTAGTGAGGACGAGACTCCTCCCGCGAAGGTGGCTCCGGCAAAGGTAACGCCCGCAAAGCCTGTTGCGAAGAAGGCAGAGTCCTCATCTGAAGAGGACAGCAGCGAAGAGGAGGGTCCACCGAAAGCAGTGCCGCCTAAAGCAACACCAGCAAAAGCACCCGCCAAGAAACCCGAATCGTCTTCGGACGAGGACAGCAGCGATGAAGAGGACGAGCCCGTCAAAAAGGTGGTGCCGACCCCTGCTAAGGCTAAGGCAGCTCCCAGTAAGCCAGTCGCAAAGAAGGACGAGTCGTCATCGGAGGAGTCAAGTAGTGAGGAAGACGAACCTCCGAAGAAGGTAGCACCTGCAAAACCGACCCCGGCAAAGGTAGTGGCAAAGAAGGACGAATCGTCGTCAGAAGAAGACTCCAGTGAGGATGAGGCTCCCAAGAAGGTTGTACCTGCAAAACCAACTCCAGCAAAGGCAGCACCGGCTAAAAAGGAATCATCGTCGGAGGACTCTAGCAGCGAGGACGAGGCTCCCAAAAAGCCCGCCATCAAGGCCACCCCCGTCAAGCCCGCTGCGAAGGCGGAATCATCGTCAGAGGAAGACAGCAGTGAAGATGAGGCGCCCAAGAAGGCGACGCCCGTAGCCAAGTCGACGCCTGCTAAACCGGCAGCTAAGAAGGCAGAATCGTCATCTGAGGAGGACTCGAGCAGTGACGAGGAGCCGAAGAAGGCAGTTCCCGCCGTCAAGACGCCTGCCAAGGCCGCGGCGAAGAAGCGCGAGTCGTCCTCGTCAGAAGACAGCGATGACGACGAGCCTGCGCCGAAGAAGGCGGCGGTGACGAAGGCGCCGACGGCCGCGGCGGCCGAGGACAGTTCTTCTGATGAGGACAGTGAGGACGACAAGCCGCCGAAGAAGGTGGTGCCGGTGGCTGCCAAGCACGCCATGTCCGAGTCAGACGACAGCGACGACTCCGACGAAGAAGAGGCGCCGAAACCGAAGAAGAAGAAGGCGAAACTGGAGAACGGCGACAGCGGGGTGGAGGATGACGTCACCGTCCGCAAACAGGTACGTACCGCTGCCACTCCTCATTGCGGCTGATAGTTTGGACCCAATATTTGGGGCGAGTCTCTAAACTTTGTTTATAACTAAGTCAGATATCTAAACCGTAGTGTCAATCATTTTGTGAGCTTTCATCGTTTATCACGATCAGTGTCAATCGAACTGTGATTTTTGCCAAGGTGCCTTTTCTAATGTGTATTATTTGTCACATTTGTCATTGCCTACCTGTGCAATGTGTATTCTGGATTACGAGTGTTAAAGCCATCTACTTTCAAAAGTTCTCTTTTTTATAAAAAGCACAGTAACTTGTCTGCATGTTGATTTCCTTTTTTTTTTTGTCTACACATTACTCCTCTAATGTTTTAAAAATGCCGAACTGGCCCATTTCAGCACGTTTGATAACAATGGCGAGAGACTTCATAGTTCCTACGAATAATTTGTGATTTGTCACTGACGACGTCCCAGCTGTATTTGCCACACGCTACTTTGTGTGGACTGTGCCGTCATGTGCTGTGCACGCGCCGCTGACATACCTGCAGGTTCAGATAAAGACTCCGCAGCCGGTGGCCAAGGCCAAGGGCCAGGCGGCGTCGGCCGGCCGGCGACAGAACACGCCGTTCCGCCGCGTGCGCGAGGAGGAGGTGGAGGTACACCAGCAGCTGGCCGACAACTCCTTCGAGGCCAAGGTAACCGCGCAGTGTCGGCGTGTCGCGCTGAGCCGCCCCCTCCCCCGTGTTTTAGGACGCTGACGAGGAGGAAGAGGAAGACGACGAGACGGTCGAATTCGATACTCGTCCGCCGCGCGCCGGCCTCGGCTACGGCAGCGGCGGCGGCGGATTCCGGGGTCGCGGTGGCGGAGACCGAGGCGGATTCAGGGGCCGTGGCGGCGATAGGGGTGGTTTCAGGGGCCGTGGCGGCGGTGATAGAGGAGGTTTCAGGGGCCGTGGAGGCGGCGATCGAGGCGGGTTCCGGGGTCGCGGCGGCGACAGAGGCGGGTTCAGGGGTCGCGGCGGTGACAGAGGCGGTTTCCGGGGTCGCGGCGGATCCCGCGGAGGCACCGATAAGAACGGGTTCGCGGCGCGCGGTAAGGGCGTGAGGACGACGTTCGACTAGCGTGTTGGTCGTGCCGGCCCGACTGTGTGTGTCGGTATGTCGACTGTATGTCGGTGTGTGTGTGGTGTTGGTGGCGGAGGGCGGGCCGCGCGGACGCGCAGTGACGGCTCTGCTCTCTTCCAGTCGGGTGCCGTCGGATCCTGGGGCGAGCGGGCCAACCGAGACCTCAAGTTCACCCGCGGAAAGGGATTCCGGCATGAGAAGACAAAGAAGAAACGCGGGAGCTACAGTGGTGGACAGATAGACACAACTGTTCATTCGATCAAGTTCACGTGAGAGCCGCCCCGCCCCCGCCCCGCCCCCGCCCCGCCCCGCCTCGCCTCGGCCCCATGTACCGGCTGAGGCCCACTGAACTGCCCAGGGACCCGGTGTCGGGTCAGCGGTCGATCTGTGTCGAGCTGCCGAGCGTGCACCGGTGTCCGGCCGCCGCCCCAAGTGTTATGGGATTCTATGTCTATTTTGAGAGTGTTTGGTACTAGCCGAGCGTTTCACGGCATGTTTCATTTGTGCGACTGCCGCCAGACTGACTGGCTGTCGAGCTCATGTGCGCTGTCATTCATCCGCGAATATAGGTGGCGCCCGACCAGGGTGCCGCACACCGTTACTGTTTGTAAACTGAGACTGTGGCGTCTGAAATGAACTGAGCGACATGGGAAGGAGCAGAAACGGGGACATCCAGAGCGTGGGTTACGGAGAAGAGGGCGAGCGTAGCTGTGTAAGAAATATTGCTGAAGAGGAACCAAGATGATTAATTATTTCATCGTGAGTAATTGATTTTAGGAACCAGGGTACTTGGAAGACCCGGCCCGTGTCTACCGATCGCTGTGGTACAATGCGAACAACAGTCATGTCTGTTGTAAAGCACCAATTATGAGAACAATCCACGAAATTCGGCGTTTCTAATCACTGCAAATTTTGGAACAAAGCAATTCATAAAAGTGAGTGCTAACCTCGCATAAACCACTGATTACGATTGGCTTTTCGAATGCGTTAAAAGGTGAAAACGACCCACCATACCTAATAAGCACGCTTTCCGAACCACGGTAGTCGTCATCGATAGAGATGTGATGCCCAATCAATGAAGAGTCGTAGGCCCTGTTACACTCATGATGCCACCTGATGCTATCAATAGCATGAGGCTGCGCCGTTTCTTGTCACACCGTCCTAGAGGAAACGCCCCTCGCTGACAGAACTGGCTCGTCTGCACTACATAGGGTAGGTATTAATTTCAGGCATTGATAAAATCACTCCAAAAACTCATGGGGCACACTGCTAATAAACATTATACCCAATATAGGCATGTGTTTTGTGTATACATCGCCCGATCCCCCGCTCAGCAACTTTGGCTGCTGGAGCAGCCATATCGGCCATTAGTTGCCCCCCGCTCCGGGGCACCGACTCTCAGCGATGACGGAATCGCCGGGCCCGATGATTTGTTTGTTTGTTTTGTTGGGTTAGGCCCTTTCGGTCCAATGCACAGTGGGGATTTTTCCGATCTAGCGCCTATTAATTCAAAAAATATTTTTTGGATTTTTGTTAATTTTTTGTGTCAGGAGGGCTAAGAAATGTCTGAATTTTTCATATATGGCATTGTTTTATCTGTATGTCCACAGCAAAACTAGGAAAAATGCGCCCAAAGTTCACACTCATGCGTGATTACTCAATGGGCTCAGCAAGGCCCGAAAGTATAGCTCAATTTCATTGTCCTGTCCTGTTGGTTTTAATCTTGCGAGGTCTTAAAGTTGCATATCGTCTGAAAGGCACCTTTATTAGGAATGGAATGGCAAACAGAAAGTATGCCACAACCTTACTAAGGTCACAAAAATGCCCTTTACAAAAAAAAAACCCTTACAGACAGCATATTGAAGGAATGGTATTCTAAATAAATGTAGGAAATCAACAATGTTCTCCACACTTTTCCACTCCGAAATATATCCTATCGAATTCGCCACTTTCTTCTGCACAAGACAACGCCTAGTTTGGCTGCCGAAACTTGCCTGAACACGGAATATTCACATTAGAGTATCTTAACACCCCACTCGAGGAGCGCTAGGGCAAACAGCACGATATAGGTATGTTCCGGACATAGGCGAATAATTTTACTTCGTGATTTATATGATGCATATTTTTTTGAGACACATTCATTAGGAATAGGATGACAAGCGTAGATTATACATACCGTAACCTTATTAACCATCGCACTTGTGGGGAGGGGGAGGGGGAAGGGGTCGGATAAAACCCCATGGTTTTCCGCAAATTACTCGCGCAAAAAGCGGCCGATCGCGCCGAAACTTTCGGTACCCTCGAGATCATCAATTTTACATCTAACCTAAAAATTTCATGACTCTGACCCAACTGACCTTTGACCTGTGGCATACTTCTCGAGACCATGTTTGGCCGGAATCGCGATTCGGCGTATGCCAGCTCACATTATCCGCGGTTTCCAGTCTTTTTGTGGTTTTAAACGTTCAGATATGTGAAATGATGTTGGTGCCATGCATAATGGTGGGAGTCAAGGTCACGTGAAGGTCAAGTCAAGGTCATTGACCTTTTGATGACCTTGGTTCACTTTTTCGAGTTTTACTTGTTTCTAGGGTAGTTTTTGGTGCTGATTTCGATTTTAGCAGCCATTTGAATATTTACGAAGTAGTTCTAGTGCCTTCGTTCCATGTTACGAAGCTATCAGTAGTAGGTGACACTTCTATGGATGGCCGGCAGGACGTCTACTAATTGATCTAACCTGACCTGACCCGACCTGGCCTAAATGCATAAAGACATCGTCTGTGATCAAAACTAACATGAAATTCGTGATCAGCATCCCAAAATACCCCGTAACACCCTAACTTTCCGAAGTTTCAAGAGGTCTCAATTTCCCAACTTTAGTTGGGTCATTAAACTGACTTGGAAAGTCAGCTTATGATCTTGGACTTTGAAATTGGATATATTCGGCCTAATTTCGTCATAGGCAGCACGCTTGACTTTTCCGCGAAGCTCTAGCTTGATCAGGGGCCAAACGGCTGAGCGGGGGGTCCAATTGAACCCCATATACTATGTTGATTATGCACATTTACAGGTAAAATTCTCACCAGAACACACCAGCCAACATCTGTGCACAATCTGGCTACAATTCTACCTATGGTTTGCCCTCTACGAATAAATACGTGCTAGATCGGAAAAATCCCCACTGTGCAATGAGACCATTTCAGAGCCGGGAGGATGATAGGATATAGGGGGAGACATTGGTCTGGGCAGGCACCCTAGTGAGTCGCCGGGGCTGAGCCCGTCCAGAGGACAGGCCACCCAGCCCCAAGGCACTCACCGCACCCGGCTACGGTGTGCGCTCCCTCGGGAGCAGCGGTGCCGCTCCAAGGGAGCAGCCCGCATGAGATAAAGTTGCCTGTCCAGCCCGGAGGGGGGTTGCGGCGTGGAGAAGGATTTCAGTATCCTGAGGAGAGGATAGAAGCACGGAGCGGTGTGGGCCCGATGACTGAAGTCCTAGGACCTAGGTTATGAAGCACCGTGGCCGGTCGGGCCGGTGTACCAGACGGTGAATGGTTCTCTTATCTCAATCACTATCTCAGTATCTTCCTTCCCCGAATCTCCTATTCTTTGACGTTAATACTTAATAGACATTTATTGGTCATATTGCCCTTGGCCCGAATCATATTGCTATGCGCTTATCATGGATGAATCCATGTGCTAATGCTGTAGCATAAAGGGAAGACTTACGGAGAGGATTTTGCGATTTGGAAGCCACGGTTCGGCTTCACTAGAATTTGGTAGCACGATTGTGTTGACAACCCACAACGCCCAACAGACAGCTGACGGAATCGGCACGACGAAAGGTGGGTGTGTTTCGCCGGCATCTGTAGTTGCGCCTTAAACTATTTTCTTTTAATTTATTTTGTTTTTTAACTACAGCTCAATGTCAAACCTTGCGCGTTTGAGTATGACTCCCGTGCAAGGCGTGTGGCCCAGTCTGGCCCAGTCCAAGTTGAAGTGCGCCTTTGGCCGTTTCAGTTCAGTAGGCGGAACTATGGTCATGAGTACCCAAATATAGGAACGTCCCCATTTTTGGGAACGGAGTTCCCAAATATGGGAACGGGCGTTCCCATTTATGAGAACGGAAGGCAATTTTTCGGCCGTTCTCCCACTAAAACTCAAAAGTGCATCACGTCTCAAAAAAGTGCACGCTGATTTAAGTATCTACTAAATCTCCATAAAGTTATCTTTAATCTGACCGTGGAAGGAGGAAATTGACCGTGGAATGATATTTTTAATGATTTTTTGAAAATGACAGAATGGTGGAAATATGGGTTATACGACATTTAACATGCAATTTTAAGGAAAATGAAGCATTTTTTAGTTTGAGGTAAAGTATAATAATTTTCGCCTGGTTATGAACTTTCATACTATCGACACCAGATGCTGACAAGTGCAAGCGAAGACGCGGACGTTCCCGAGGTAATATTGTTGACTTTTGTGTCGGGGCGGACGACCGCGTGGAACGTGAGTGAATTTACCGAGCTACTGTTGTAAACTCAGTTTAAGCGGTTGAAAATTATCCAGCTGTATTTTATCATCCCGGAAAGACATATTTTATTTGGATGCTAGCTGTTTAGAGTTGTTTTATAAGGAGCGTCATGAGCGTGGTTTTTGTCTTCCGTGTTTCTAAGCGTGATCGTTTTGGGGGAATTTCTCTTATATAGCTCGCTCTGTGTGGCTTATTTATAATTTTTATGCTGATTTCGATAATTCCTCGTGCCCATCCTACCAGGCCTTTTGCCACTTACAATCATCAAGAAAGGAAAAAACTAGATTTTCATTGGGACTAGGTGTTTTGAGGGTGTAACATATTCAGCGTTCCCATTTTTGGATACTTCCTTGTACTCGTCAACTATCGGTGATAAACAGACAGGTGCTTGACATGTCTCCACCCTCAGCGCGGACGGTGGATATAGGTATGGAAGACCTTGTTGAACATCGCTGAGCGTTGTGAATTACGTAATCCTGCAGAGGGGGGCGTGCCCGCTGCGAGATCGACGGGAATAAAAGCGCAGAAGACCGGGCGAAACATGCGACGGTCTTGCCGGAAAGGTCATCTGATGATTGTTGCGTTAACAATAATTTGCGGCGTTGGACGTGATGCTTGTTAATGAAAAGAGCCCCTGAAAGGCGTCGGTGAAATCGTTCCCAATTTTGGGTACGCCGTTCCCATAATAAGGAACGCTTGCAGCGCCAGTGTACGAGAGCGTTCCCAAATTTGGGCTCGCGGCCCGGACGATGGACTGCTTTAGAAATAGGGGAACGATTTGAAACTACGATGGGCCTTACAATATCAAACTCTTTCCCAACAATATTGAGACAAATATCAGGCGGTTCACCATCGTTTTATATTTTTTGGACGTCATTTAACGGTTCTTTTTCTTGTTTTAAATAATGCCTACATGGCGTTCCCATATTTGGGTTTATCGTTCCCAAACATGGGAACGAAAATGCGTTCCCGAAAATGGGTACGCTTGACCATAGTTCCGCCTACTGAGTTGGGCAAACTAGACCTTTGGAATCAAAATATGGAGGCATCAAAAGATTGATTCCTTATGA